GCATTCCCTGTGCCCATGTGTGGCCAGCCTGCAGTTGCAGTCGGGGAGTTTTCGGCGTGGCGATGCAGAAGCTGGCCACTGGGTGGCTCCAGCTGTGGCCTCCCATGCTGTGTGTGTTCGTCCACCGAGGACCGCGGGATTAGATGCTTCCCTTCATGCCGGAGTTCTGGAGTAGGAGCTCAGTTCCCACAGCTCAAGCCCAGGCCTTGAAGTGGGAGTGCCCCTAGGCAAGTGCAGAGTGCATTTCTCAAGCCTAGGGGTAGGGAACCAGCTGCTGTCCAGGTATTTTGGACTACAACTCCTTTTAGCCTCAGCCTGCCTGGGCAATGGTCAGGGATGATGGGAGCTGAAGTGCTAAACATTTAGTGATGACCAGGCTGATTACGTCCATCTCGTGTATTTCAATGTATTTTATCATGTTGTAAGCCGCCCCGAGGTTTCGGCAAGGGGCGGCATAGAAATGTTATAATAATAATAATAATAATAATAATAATAATAATAATAATAATAATCTCTAGTGATTGAGTAACTTCAGAGTTGCCACACCTGCAGGAACTGGGAGGCAAAGGGGCTGCTAGTTCAGTTCCAGACAATCTTGTGCCCCCCCAACCCCCCCCCCCCCCCCCCGGAAATAAAGCTCCAGATACTCATTCTGTTGAGTGTGCCTCAGCAGTTTGAGATTCTTGGCCTTGTGCCTTCCATTCCTTTACTGCTCTTGCAAGATACTTGCGCTTTCTAGGGGTCGTTGCATGGAATCGAGGTGGCGGCTCCCCAGCGTGTCGCACCAGAAGTACATAAGTGGAAGCTCAGGACTTAACTCTCTGCCGGTGGTACAGAGAGTTGAGAGAGCCTCTGCCAGGGCTGGGCATGGGGGCTGAAGTCCGGGGACCTGCAGCTTAGATTTGTACATATCCGTATCTCTGCATGCATTTGAAAAGCATTTACCTTGCTAGTAACTACGCACGGCCTTCAACAATGCGGGCTAAGCGTCCCATTTCAAGGTGGTGCCTGTGCGGCATCATAAGGTCTGCCATCCACTGTATTACGGGAGCTGATCCTTTATTTTCCCTATATAGTTATACCAGTCTTTTCGCTATTGAAAGGCCATGGAAAATCCACTTATGCTGACTATTCATGAATTTCCAAGAAGCAGGTGGATACTTTTAAAAAGCATGTGCATCGGTGAATATTAAAGGCTGTTTCAGTACAAAATTTATCTACATAATAACCTCTTCCCAAAAAGCAGCAACAACTGGACATTACCGAAACATGTGCTTAAAAGACACATTAGCTGCATTGCGTGTCCACCAGTTGGCCAAATTAGAAAGACCGGTGTGAGTGTGATATTATGAAGTCCATTAGACACAAAATAAAAGTTTTTGCTGAATAAGAAGCAGCCTAGGATCCATATATGCAGTAGGTGGAGTCAGCGAAGCGTCAGCCCATTGAGTGGGTAAGATGGGGCAATCCAGTTCCCTAATCCACTCTAGCTTAGAACCCTCCATTTTATATTTATTCAGCAATAACGAGTGTTCATATACATGGGCTGGCCAGTTCCAATAAGCATTTCCTGTAACGGTGCCATAAAGCAGCAGTGCCAGACCAAGCCGTTGACAAATACTGCCATTGCGTTTGTTGCCGTCCAGCCTATCTAGGCAGCGACTCATCCTCAGCACTTCCAGTTGGATCCACATTTTGAAAATCTCTTTATCCTTGTCTGTCACAGATGCTTTTCCTTACTCGTCTTCCTTTCTAGATACTGCTCCTGTTGTGAAACCTCACAACATTTCCGTTTTACATATTGCAAAGGTTTAAACAAACAGATTTTAAAATGTGAAAGGTTTTGGTGTGAAGCACCAGTTTTAGTCACGAATGAAACCGCAGTGCTGTGAAGCTGCATGCAGTGGCAGGCCCTCGTTTGGACATTATCTGCCAGAACATTTCACATTTTCAAACCCGTTTGTTCATTAAACATTTCCTTTTCAAAATTCAAAATGCATACTCTTACAGTCAGATGTGTAGCTGTCGGTTATTTATTGCGGTTTGGAGTGACGTTCCATGTACTTCACGTTACCTGAGGATTGGTTTATTCAGCCAGTAAAACGATCAGGCCGGTCATTGTGGGAATCGACGCAGCCGTGCTGCTCTTGCTATATCTTACTGTAGTGGGTTGAAAGCACTATGCGAACAGGGTCTCAGCTATCCATACAACAGCCCTGCAGAGTAGTCCAGAATGGCTGTCCTCATTTTGCGGGTGGCCAGGGCTTGCCTGAGGCCATTTAACTGGCGCAGTGGGTTTGCACGCGGGTGTGGACAGTGGGTCGGGTCCACGCTCACTAGCAAGTTGTTCGTGTTTGACGTCGCCAGGATGTCACGGCCGCCATCCGTTTGGGCAACTTTGAAAGGGGTTTGGATGGAGGAGGAGGATATCGGGCTGATGGCTCTCCCCTGCCTCCAGAAGCAGAGGCAGTGTGCAGGGGAACAGAGGTATTTATTATTTATTTATTATTTATTAAAACATTTTTAGGAGGGTGCTGATGTACCCGTGTCCTCCTTGTGACGTTTAGTGGCCAGCCGGTTTTCTATTGTGTGAGCAAATGGACTCTTGGTCTGATCTCCTGCTGACCACTAAGGCTCGATGTTGTTCTGATTTACCTTTCCCATTAGTTTGAACCTTTTCCTCCGACTTTGTACTGATTGCTTCAGCATAGGGTATTTCCCTATCCTCCCCCCCCCTTTATTATTTATTCATTTATTAGAGCGCAAGTCATTGGGATGGCTCATTGGCCCCTTTAAGGCGTAATTATAAATCACGGTTTGTCCTTAGGAGAAGTGGCGACGTTCCCTCCTCTTCTTCCCTCCGCCTATAAGTGAGGGAGACTGGCAGCTCCCCATTCTGCTCTTTTATGCAATCGTGGCAACCCGTGCTTTGCACAAAACACAGTTGTGTGCCAAGAGAGCCAAGGTGGTGTAGTGGTTAAGCTGTTGAACTGGGACTTGGGAGATGTCTGGGTCCCTGCTTGGCCATGATCGAGCGGGTCGACTTTGGGCTAGTCACTGACGGTGATCCTAACCTACCTCACAGGGTTGTTGTGAGGGCAGACTTGAGAGAAGAGCTTTGTAGGCCACTAAAGAAGCAATTTGCCATATCCAGAATGGTAGAGCTTAACTCCGGGTGGTCAAACAGCAGACCGGCTGCGTACCCGTTCCAGCTTCCTGTGCCCTGCTCCACCTCAGTCCGTTTGCTCAACGTGGGGAGGCGAAGAGACACTGGGGCAGGGCGGACAAGCTATCTCCACACTTGCTCACACCTTGTGGGTCATTCTAGTGCCAAATACGGCTTACGGCTTGCTGCAGAAGCTTAAAACATTTTCTCCCTGCGTGTCCTGCGGAGGGGCTCGGCTGAGTCCAAGCCACAGCTCATTCTTGAAACAAACAAACAAACAAACAAACAAACAAACAAACAAATGCTATTGTCTTTTTATAGCTTACGTGGTGCCTGGGTTTTCCTGGGGTCTTACAGCAAATCAGCTTAATAGGAAAGTTACTCCAGGCAGAATCATACCTTTGGCCCAGCTAGCCTGTATTGCCAACACTGGCTGGCAGCAGCTACTCTCCGGGAGCTTTTACCTGGAGATGCTGCCTGGGTTTGAACTGGGGCCTTCTGCCTGCGCTTCATGTGCTCCGCGACGAAGCTACGCCCCCACAGGCCCAGTAATAATCACATGAGGCACACCACAAGATTCTGATTAACCGTGCTCACGTGGCTGCACATTCAGAGTCACCCACAGCAATAAGGATTCTGGTCATAAGCGTAGAGGCGCGGCGGGGATTTGAACCTCCCGGTCCGTCGTCGTGACCCCGAGGGGGCGCCCGCTGGGGAGCTGCATGCTGGCTGCAGGGCAGCAGAGCTCTGATCGGGGTTCCTAAATACACACCCTTGCGGGGGGCGGGGACACCTTCCCGGCTGCTGTTGTGCGTTCCTCGCCCCTTCACCCATTTGCAGCTGCCTCCGAGCCGCCCCTTCTGGAGCTGGGCCCTCCTCGCCTTTGCTTCCTCTCCTCCTCCTCCGCTTTGGGAGCCCGGAGTTGCAGGGCCGTTGGGCACAGCCTGTGGGGAGCGTCCCTGTTTGGCGGAAAGGTTGGCCTTGATTTAGACTCGCTTTGCTGCAGTGTGCGCCGTCCAAGCCCTGTTGTGACGTGTGCCGTTCGGGCATGCTGTTTCTGTGCCTCTCTCTGCTTGGCCCGATGTAATTAGCTGGATGAGAAAAGAGCAGACACACACACACACACACACACACACACACACAGAGAGAGAGAGAGAGAGAGAGAGAGAGAGAGAGAGAGAGAGAGAGAATGAGCAGTGAGAAAGGATGCGGAAGAATGACTCAAGGGCAGAGGCCAGAGTATAACAATCACAATTTCAACAGAAGAACCCTTCCTGGAAAGGGGGCATGGCAAAGCTGAGGTAATTGTACAGCATCCCAATACTCCGAAAGTGAAAGAGAATTTATCTGTGCGGGGCAGCGGAAGAGGAGGAGAGGACCGGGAGGGCTCCTTCAGGCATGCATGCCGGGAAAACGAGAGCTCCCAGCAGGCATGGGCACAGGTACCTCCTAACCTTTCTCCCTCTGTGCTCCTCGGCGCTTGTGCTCGTGGCTCTGACGCTTGCGTGAGTGTGGGTGGTCTCTCCTTTCCACTTGGCAGGCGTTCAGACCCGTCTCTTGGCCAGTGACATGGGCTGGGGAACCCGCTCTTCCTCTCTCGGTGCCTCTAGCCTTTCTTTCTCCTCCTGCCTCAGGGAAGGGTGGGGAGGGAAGCGACTTACGCTTGTCAGCGCCTGGGGGGGGCATGAGAGTCCCTGTACGTGGCGGAGCAGGGGAAGCTGGCAGTAGCATCCTCCCAGGTGATGCTTCGGTCCATGAAGCCTTAACTTCCACGTACTTGTTTCTTCCCTTCTTCCCCCTCTTGGTATTCATGTGTCTGCCTCTATTTTTGCAGAAAAAGGCAGAAGCGGCCCACAGAATACTAGAAGGACTGGGACCTCAGGTGGAGTTGGTAAGTCTGGCTTTGCTTTTCTAAACGTGTGTGGCCTGGGTGTGCACGACATGGCAACCCACCAAAATCCAGGGTGCTTTCTGCAGGATGGCTTAATTTTGGGAACAAGCACAAGGAGAACCTGTGGCTTGTCGCGGGGTTGTGCTTGCCCATGATGGGTCCTCGTGTCATCTGAACCCGGGAGACCTGTTTGCCTGCGGCTTGTCGCAGCTGGCCCCCAGGCCACTGAGCAAGAGCTGCAGACGAGCCCGGAGCACTCACTTTTCACGACTGTCATTCCACGGATGCCAAAACAGAAGGACTGTCACTTGCTCCTCAGCTTTTCTTTTCAGTGCCTCGAAAATATGCCGTCAGGGTCATATTTTTAAAAAATTACTTTCTTTGTCAGTCTTTTGTGTTTGGGACTATGCGATAGGATTGTTGACAAGAAGAGGGTGTCTGTCACGTAATTTGAGCACAGCTGCGAATGACTTGGGGAGAAATTATGCGAATAGAAAGGAGCCGTGGAAGGGCGGGGGTTGATTAATTTCGCCCCTTTCTGAAGTAGCTGGAGAGTTGGGCAAGTTTTGAAAGTGTGGATGACACTCTGAAGTGTCAGCTTGACGCTGGAAAACAAGAGGATCGCGTTGCCAAGGGGGGGATACTGTCCTTCCACCGTTTGGGTGCGTTTACTCATTGCTCCCCCCCCCCGCTCCCCATATGTGTGACCTTTCTCCCCCAGTTGTTCGTAACGGTGTACAGATCAGCAGACAGGCGGTATCTTCTTGTTACATCCCCTGTATATTTCTTATTCTCCTTTGCTGCTCTTTATGACACCGGAAGTGTATCAGGGAGGACTCCTTAGAGCAGGCAGTAGCAAGCAGGCACTTGCAAAAGACAACCAGAAATAAGAACTGCAAGTCCGGCGACCCTCCGACATCCGAGGGACGTGACAGTAAAAAGCCAAGGAGACAGGCTGGACTCTGCCACGGGCTGCCCCTTAGTCTTACATGCGGCCCGGCCCCCCGCTGCGTGAGCGTGCACGCATGTGTGAACTGAGTCTTCCTTTCTTTCTGCCCCTCCTTCCCTCCTTATCTGTCAGCCTTGAAGTTTTGGAGGGCAGCCAAATGTTTGAGGACAAGATAGACTCACTCCAGACATCTGCACGGTTGCAACACTGGCAAAGGAGTCTTTGTCTGGCAAGTCTTGCTGGCCTGATGCCGGGCAGGATGGGCTCTCCGTGACCCAGGAACACCTGCCTGCTGGCGGAGCATTTCTCCGAGGTTCTGGGCTCCCTCCTCCCACGCTCTCCAGTATTTGCTGCAAACTGGAGCAAAGGGAAATTATGAGAAGCTGTCCTTCAGCACTGGCTTGCTGCCCTGGGTGTATTTTTAATGGAGCTGCGCAGAATTGCTTCTTGATGTGTCCTCTTGCTCTGATCAGTGCTGACAAATGTGGGTTGGATCCAGACTGGGGCAGGTGCGGCTGAATTGGAGGGAGCAGACCTCCCCGCACCCCTCCTCTTCCTCCTCCTCACCGCAGGGCTTTCATCCACCTGATAATGGTACAGGGCAGCACAGAGTGGGGTGCGGGTTCCCCAGAATTGGGGGAAAGCACCTTCCCTGAGCAGAGTGGTCCCCAGACCCTGTTTTTAGCCTTAGGCTGCACCATCCATCTAGGGTGCCTTGGACAGAGATCTGAGGCAGGGCACAGCCCATCAGACCTGGGGCCAAAACCCCACTGCGGCCCTGTGCTGTTCCTCTTGCCCCAGTTCCATCCCCTTTCCCCCAACCCCTGGTGGTTCCCTGGGCTTCTACATAGAAATAGCGCTCAGAGAGCTCTGTGCAGGCAGCTTGGGCTACGCAGGTGGTCATTTCCCTGTGAAGGAAAACAAGGTGGATTTTCTTTCTCCATTGTGCTTTTCTCAGTGAAGGAACTGGGTTGGGCCAGAGCTTCCTTTTATGGTTATCTTAAGAACTATTTGAAATTCCTGTGGGGTGTTACGTATCTTTTGGCTGCAACTCCTGTCTGACCTAGGCAGCATAGCCAGAATTGATCATGGCTGTTAGCCAAGGACTATTAGCCAAAAATGAAAGTGCTTATGGGAGTTTAGACCAGTATATCTGGAGGATATATTATTGCGGGTTATTGGCTGAACCCAGCTGCACTAACAAACCATGGCTCATTAACTGTGAACAACCCACAAAGAGAACCCTCGCTTTGTTGTGGGTTTCGAACTGTGGGTTGTTCACCATGGTTTGTTATGATGGTTGGGTTCAGACAAGCCAATAACCCATGCTTTGGCAACAGCCCATAGTTTAGCAGCAACCCTTGAGTGTGAGTTTTCACGTTGTTTGAATCCAGTCAGTGTCAAAGTTCCATCTGTGATAGATGTGTTGAACCTGAGGCTCGTGGGCCAAATCCTCCCACCAGAGGCCCAGCCTGACCCTCTGTGTTTCCCCTTCTCTCGGCCTCATGCCCAAGCAGCGGTTGCTCGGTGGCTTCTTGGCTGCTGCACATTTTTGGTCCCAGTCTAAAGATGGACAAGCCTTCCTTGAGGCTTAGTTACTGCAGCTTTAAGCTAAAATATGTGTCCATGCTCTCCAGTGTTTGATTTTGTATTTCTGCCCCCACCCGCCACTGGAAGGCAAGCCCCAAGAGCTCCTCCAGCCCTGGAGTCAGTCCTGCCGGTAAAAGAGGCTCGGCACTCCTCCTCTGTGCCCCTCCCTCCATGGACGTCTTCAGAAATGTGTGTGTCAGACAGGCCCCAGCCACGAGGAAGCAAAGAACGGCTGATCCCATGAGTAGCATTCCCGGATTTGGGTGCAACTATTCCCGCTGTTCAGAGAGCTTCATGAAATTACTCCATAAGCGCACGCAGGCAAAATGTTTCCCAAAGCAGCCCCTCCACTCCTTTCATCATAGAAGGACCGTGCCAACCAGGGTCAAAGTAACCAAGTCATCGTTTTGTTTTGCTTTTTAAAAATGGTTGCACTTCCCCTGCATGTGGGGAAGTGAATTGGCAGCTGTGGCTGTGATTAATTTCCATATGACACTTCGGTTGGGTAAATGCTCGGGCAGCCAAGCATGGAACGCCCTGCAGATCAGCCGCTTAGCAGAGCCTCCATCTTGTTCTTCGTGCCCACCCTGGAGCACAAAATGATGCACGGTGTGGGAGGCCATTCTCTCCCTCTCTCGTGATCCTAGGACCCAGAGGGCTTGTCTCACGGAGCTGATAGCGGGAGATTCTGCTCAGATAAAAGGAAGGACTTTCCCACGGCACGTAACTACAACTGTGGAATTCACTGCCCTGTCACACAGTTTGGGCCACCCTGAAAGGCGATTGGGTAGATCAGTGGAGGAGAGAGCGAGCGATGGCTGCTGGTCGCCACGGCGGTATCCCGCCTCTTGTACCGGTCCATGGACCCATTGTTGAAGAATCGGGGTGATCTGGTGCTGCTGCATTCACGCCCGCTTGCTTGTGTCCGACGGGGCGCTGGTTTGCCACTGAGTTAACAGAACGCAAGACTAGTCCTCGCCTGATCCAGCGTGGCTCTTCTTAGACTCTTAAACCCCAAAGCCTGCGGCGTTGCCATATCTCGGTCTGTCCGGCCACGGGACCAAGTCAGTGGGAGAGGATGGCCCTTCTAGTCCAACGCACCGTGGAGGGGGGGGCGGTGTGCCAGGCTGAGGAATGCATCTGCCTGCTGCAGCCCTCTTCTCCTCCGGCTGTGGTGTTAGAGGCCTCCGTGATCCTGTCGCAGCACCATTAAGCAATGGGCCGAGTGCCAGGTTGGGCAGCAGCAGGAGTGGCACCTGCTCCTGCCATCATTTTTTGCGCTTTTTAGACGCTGCGGCTGTTGCTCTCCCTCCTCTGCGCTGGTTGTCTGTGGTGGTTCTTTCCCATGTGTGTTTACATTGCAGAACAGGGAAATACAGAATACTTATACCAGGTCAGAAGACTGGTTTCTCATCCAGTGGTGGTGTCGTAAATGTTGACGCTCAGGAATTCATTACGGCAGGTTCACATAATCGCACGTCCCGAAATGCCAACAGCTGTGTTGATCCCTATTCATAAACCAGTTCTAAGCTTTCTTCTCTACCAGTAGCTCTTTAGTAAAACGAATGGGTCCTATTTCAAGACCGAGCCCCCTCAAAATACTTTGTGCTACAACAGGACACACTATTTGTGTCACACAACGTCAGATGGGTCGAACAAGTCATGGGCTTTTGTACGTGAGTAAGAGAGCAGCTGCAACTTCTGTTTTTACTTAGCAAGCAGCTGCTCCATTCTAGGTCCCTTAGCAAGTCATCCGAACGAGGACTGCAGGGTTGGTCAGGGGCCAAAACCCCAAAGATTAGACAATGGTTTTTTGTTGGGTTAACTGCTAGGTGGTTAGCTCCTAAATAAGCCCTTGTTGCAGGTTCAGACACCCTGTGATGAAGCAGCTTGTGGGTTGCTGAGTAAAACTGGGAGTGCTCTACCTGTCTCCTGCTCATGTGTAACAGGCCAGGCCAGGCCCCGTCGTGCAAACGAGCTCAGTGCTGCTGGGGACAGCCATTTCTCCCCAGCTCCTGTAGGGATTGCAGCCAAGCTTGTGGGGAACGGGCTCCTGAGGAAGGCCCCTCAGAAGCTGGCGTGCTCATGAGACACTGCTGTCGTGCGTCCCTGTGTGTTGGGCTCCACTGCCGTTGTGTAGGCGCTCCAGGATCTCAGCCGGGGAACCGTCTTTCCGGCAGCTGCTTCATACGGAACGGGGGAGGCCAGGAGTTGAGTCCAGCCCTGTCCATTTTGCAAAGACCCTGCTCTTCCCCCACCGAGCCGCACGCCCTTCCCAGATAGCACAAGCACCTGGGCAGAGCAGATGCTTTCCTGGCCCTTCGCTCCCGCCTTCAGCAGGAAAAGGATCAGGTGGGAAGGCGTCACCGGTTGGATCCGCCCCTGGGCAGGGCTGCCTGCCCCTGACCTCCTTCTCTGTGCCTTGGAAACACACCCACATACTCCACCCCACCTCCATGTGGGATAGAATCATGGAGAGGCCGTTGCTGCACATCTTGGGTGAGTGCATGAAAAGGACTGATGCAGAGCAGAGCAAGTAGGTGAGGGGGCAGGAGGAGAAAATGGGGACGGGGGAAGGACTCCGGAGCTGCAGGTCCTCTCTAAACTTTTAAAAGGGGCCTCATTTTGCCACTTAACACTGAAGTTGCAGGCCAGTTTGTTTTGTCTAGTTGTCCTTTCAACCCCTGAACCTATTTCTGCATTTGTCAAAGTAAAGTAGTGAATCATTCCAGCAGTTGCTGTTTCCCTACAGTTCCTGGACAGCCTGTCCAGGAAATCAGCCCGGACTGATCTCTTGTGCGTAGCGGAAGCATTATGCACAAGAGCTTCCATGGCAGTCTCCATCTCTCTCAAAGTCCTCTCGTGCATACAAAAATCTCCTTGAAGATAGAAAATATCCATGTTCAGAGAGAAAATTAGGCTCACACTCTTCTCCCTGAATTGCTAGTTTTCTGCATGCAGGGAAAGTGATCGATGTAGGGTTTTATACCAGACATGGGTGGGTTGAGGGGGGTTATTCAAGCATAAAACCTCCTCCCTGTACGCTGATGAGACACTTGCACCCGCTTGCTTAATCCGACTCCCAAGATGCCGGCCTCCCACGCCACTCATTCCTGAACTTTTACCCCGAAAACATTTTGAGGAAGCTCCAGAGAAGACTTGCTCTTTCTCTTCTCTTCTTGCTCAGCAGGCAGGGAGAATTTCTCCTGGTGACCCCATGAAATGAGGGGCATTCTGCAGCTTCCTGACCGATGACTGGTGCTAAACTTCAAAGGCTCTGGCTGCATTACTCATCTGGAAATGGCCCAAGCACGGCCATCGCTCGATGGGTGATTCATGGGTCTAGGCGTGAGTCACGTCTGACCAAGCAGGGCTGCGGATCTGAGTGGCCGCTGTGGCCTGCAGGGTCCGAACCGCCTTCTCCTGGGCAAGGAGGCCTGATTTAGCCAAGATGTGCTGAAGCAGGAGAGGCTTGCTCTGGCTTCAGTTCTGGGTGGGGCAGGCTTGATTTACAAAGGGGTCAGAAGCTGCAGTCGGTCCCTTTAGCCAAATGCTGTTTTGAAGGCAGGGAGAGAGTCAGCACCCAAGTTTTTTGCCCCTGGCAGCAGCTGGAGCTCTCTCCGATCTTCCTTCCTTCCGTCCTTCCTTCCTTCCTTCATTTATATGCCATCCTAATCGCAAACAAGCCTCAGGATGGCTTACAATGAAAGAGCATAAATAAATCTGCTTTATATCTGCTTCTGGGGAAAGGCTGGAAGCAAATTGGCCCTCCCTCCATCCAGGACCCATCGTCTGGCATAGTGGCTCGGGTTGGGCTGGGACTCCAGAGATAAAATTTTTATAGCCAGGGCGAATCCAGATTTTATATGTATCTATTTGTATGAGTGTTTGTTGATTATGTTGGAAGCCGTCCCGAGGCTTGTGCAAATGGGACGGCATACAAAAACTCCAAATAAATGAATAAATACTCATCTCCCCCCCCCCATGGGCGTGGCGCTCTTGGGTGACTCTGGGCGCATCGCAAATTCTCAGCCCAGCCCACCTCACAGGGCCGTTGTGTGGATGAAACGGAGAAGAGGAGGACCCTGTAAACCGCCTTGGATCCCCTGTGGGAAGGGGAAAGGATGGGCTAGAAATTTTAACATAAATCTGAAAGATAAGACAAAAATCCCACAAAGCCAGAACTTGATTTCTGTGCCCCCAAGCCTCATACTTCAGAAGATCACAGCGCTGCTGAATTGACTGCTCACGGTCTTTAGTTCCTGTCTAAGCAGACATCTTTGAAACCGCTTCTTCCTTTTGTCCCATCTCCTTCCACAGTTCGCCCGCGTCTCGTAGCACCTTGCCTGGTTTTCTGGAGATCTTGGATCTTGTATATTTTTGTTCCCTGTTAAGTTGCCTTAATGGAGGTTGTGTGCTGTAAGAACCGCCAGTGCGTGTTGAAAATGCACCTTACAGAAGCTTTTAAAGTTGTGCGTTCTTTGGTTTCAGTCTTGCCGTATTAGATATAGCTCGAAACAGTTCCATTTTCCAATAATGATTTCTTTTCAGTTCTATTGTTGTTTTCATTTTGAAAATTATTCATTTTAAATACATAATGTTAGACAGAGAGGAGTGGGTTAAACAAAGCATCCAAAAGCATTGGTGCAAAATAACTAGATTGATTTCCCAAACTTCTGAGAAGTCTGGAAAATACAGAACTGGTCTTCAGGATGGGTCCAGGCAAATCCCCAACTGTGCTGCAGTTAGAAGTTTTGGAATTCAGCCCCCAATAGCCCCAGCTGGGGTACCCAGTGGTCAGGAGTATTGTAGTTCGAATGTGTAGGCTGAAAAGCAGGTGGAGAAGGGCTGAGTTGCATCTGGTCCCAGGGAAAGCTGAAAAAGCCTTTACTGTAATGGCTGAGATTTCCCCTTGGAAATCCCTGTGAAATCACAGCACAGTTCCCTCTGAAATCACAGCAATTTTGCTTTTTCTAATAGAAAACAGAAATATGGGGAAATAATGAAAAAATCATCCTATAAAATATTTTCCCTTTTAGAAGAATTTCCTTCCAGAAGCATTGAACTCCAGCGCCAACTGAAACTTCAGATAAGTTTCAGGCCAATATATGGGGGGCAGGGATCCATCAGAGAGCGGGCTGGTGGCCTTGCGCATGAATGCGCTGCCCACTGAGCAAATTCTGTTGATGAGATTGTGGTATAAGGCATTTATATTCCCAAAGCTGTGAGATTTACTCTGGGGGATGCTCTGCTAAGTAAAGGTCCTATTTCTGAGTAAACATGAATCCCTTACTCCGTAAATTTCATAGAAATAACCATTTTCCTTGCTAAGTCACACATCGAAGCATCTTGTGTTAAAACAGGATCTGTGTTAGCCCATTCACACCCTCCAATTCAGTAGTGTCAACACGGATAAGCTGTGACTTCCCCAAATCTCAGCCTCCCCTTGTTCCATCCCAAGACCGTTGTGCAGCCAGGTATCCCACCTGGGACCGTCTGCATGCAAAGCGTGCGCCGGTCCACCGAGCCAAGGAGGTCCTTCTTCCCTTTGTGCGCACGCAAACGCACACGGTGCCCCCAGGTGCGCTTCTCATCTTTTCTCCCACAAAGAAGCGAGCGAGCGACAGCTGGCGCTTCTCTGATTGCGGCACTCTGCTGTGTCACACATGGGCTTCAGAGGCATTGTGTTGCAAATGGCTTGTTTTTGAACAAGCTAGATCCTCCGTGACTCAGGCAAGCAAGCAAGCAACACCTTGGGAAGGAAAGGAGGGAGACAAGGAGGGGAAGTGCTGTAGGCGATGGAGGCGGGAGGGTACGGAGAGGCGATAGTTCACGTTGGGCCTTGGCACTGATGCTCCAAGCAGCAGGGACATCCTGTGCCTCCAGCTTCTGGGTGTCTTAAGAATGGCACTTCTTGACTCTGGCATGCCTTCAGCCCACACGGTGCTTTACGCTTCAAATCTCCTTTCTCGTTGCAGCCGCTGTACAACCAGCCTTCAGACACGAGGCAGTACCATGAGAACATTAAAATGTAAGTATGCAGCCATAAAGCCTTCCTCCCGACCCTTCTCGTCCCTGCTTTCAACTGTCACTGCACAGCGAGGCGAAAGCAGAGGGAATAGTTTCTTCGGCTTCAGATCTCTTCCCTGCCAGAACTGGAAAGGAGAGAGGCCGTCTTTCTTGCTCCAGAGGCTTTGAGCTGCAGCGTTTCTTAAATGGCTCTCCATTCAGAGCCAGCCGGGCAGAGCTAGCTGGGTGGGTGAAATGGTTTCTTACTGTAGAAGGGAACAAGGTGGGGCAGAAGCGAGTGCTGGGAGTTGGGGGTGCAAGACGTGTGCGTCTGCGTGCCTGTCGGGCTGGGAGACTTGGAAGCTCGTCTGTGCCGAGTCCCAGAGTTTGACGCCGGCACTGTGCACGGGGGGTTTCGCGCCTGCAGAGAGCATTTGGCCCTCCGAGGGCCCCCCTGCCTGCCACGGATCCGTGGGCCTCTTCAAGTCACCCTAAGGTTGCGGGATGCCCTTTCCTGGGGGCCGTGATGGAGCTGCGGCCTGGTTGTCACTTTGTTTCCCCAGAAGAGCCGAATGACCTTTCTGTCCATGCTGGCCTTGGGTGGCTGTCACAGCTGGCCACTGCATCAGCATTACATGGGGTGGCACAGCCGGCGGAGTGGAAAAAGGGAAGCCTTCATCAGAGGCCTCCTCCTCGCCACTCCGGACAGGGATTCTGGCCTGGCCCAGACGCTGCCCTCCCTTTTTTGCACAGAAGCAACACTTCTTGGCTATTACGGCAGCTTTCCTGAACCTGCTGCCTTCTACCTGTTATGCACTTCAGGGCCCATCAACCCCAGCCAACATGGCCAGTTGTTAGGGATCTTGAGACCCTCTGGAGGGCATCGCAGATTGTCAGGGGCCGCCATAGGCTGATTCTTTACAGCCAGCTGTGTCGGAAGTTGGGCCATGCAGACAACCCGAGTTCATTTGCCCTGGCTGGCCAGGTATGGGGAAGAGACTTGGCTGCAGGAAAGGTGCTGATTCGTGGTTGCTTTGATCTACCGATACTTGCCCGAGCCTATTCAGAAAAGCTCCCAGCCGAGAAGGGCTCCGCACCTTGTTCCCCATCTGGTCCTCTAGCCCTCTTGAGCACCACATTGACCTGTTCCGTATGCAGACACTTTCGGTTGCTGCTTGCAGGCCTCTCGGTCTTCCTGCATTTCTCCTTGAGTCAGTGCTGACACATCAGAGGAGGACTCTGGGCTGAGCATCTGCTTTCTACTGAGTCAGGCCAGGGATCTTCATATGACTGGCAACGGCCCCTGTGGGCTTCAGCCAGGGTCTGTTCCAGCACTGCTTGTCGATGCCAGAGCTTTCCCTGGGTGGCTCCGGGCCAGCTGGAACCTCTCTGGCAGCTGTGCATTGGCGTACTCCCTTACATATGGCTAGCCTTGCCGTTTTAACAAAAACCGAGCACATCCGTGGGACAGTGTTGTGTATTCATTAATGCACTGCTACTTTCCTACCCTGCTTGTTTCCTCTTGCCAAGAACCCAAGGCTCTGCCCTCCTCCTTGGCATTTCTGTCCTCACAGTAACCCTGCAAAGTAGGTTAGGCAGAGGGTGGGCGAGGGCCATAGTCACCCAGGTAACTTCATGGCTGAGTACGAATAACACCCGAATCTCAGTCTTACTCACTGCTGAAAGTTCTCAATTGGTCCTGCCTGATGTGCTGCTTACCCTTTGCAGGGATTTTTCATTGTTTGTCAACAACCCAAAATACCCTAGTTCACAAACCTCATCCTGCCATCTCTGTAGAAATATTTGAAAACCTTTGCCCACTTCTGATGTATGACTTTCCAGCGTAGGTATTTATGAAAGGTTGTCAGGTCTGTAGAAAGGGTGTATTTTTAAAAAATAATGTTTGCAATGTATGTATCTCAAGCTCAGGAATTCTCAAACTGTGACAAATTAATTATACGTAGATGCTCCCGGAACCTCAAAGCACCTGTCATTTGCACAGGGAGTTGCCGACGTGTCTCTGCATGATTCATTGGGCTGGACTGTTCTCCTTTCCATCCTGCTCTCATGCACGGCCAGGATTGCCTGATTTAATTTTGCCATGTGGCTTGGATGCAGCTGGAATCTTTAGTTGGTGCGAAGGCAGGCAAGTGAATGGCAGATTTAACTGGCCTTGGAGAAGGCTGCGTGCTGGCTCATTGTGCGGATCCCTGCTCTGGAATAGTGGCCGCTTTGTAGAAAGTGGACCCATCTGAGCAGATGGAGGTGGTCTCGGGGTGGGGGCCCTGTTCTTGCATGCTGTTCTTTGCTCACTGTAAACGCCAGCTCTTTAAATCAGTGAAGTTCGGGGAATGCTGCCCCACTGACAAGAACTGTAGCTCCCCCCCCCCCCAACTGTTCCAGGACCGACTTGCAAAGGTCCCACAGATCCCCTGGACATTGCGTGCTGGCAGCCATCGGAGGCAGAATACTAGGTTGATTCCCTGTCCTACGTGGCAGTCCTGGTGTGCTTCCTAGAGGTTTCCCTTCTCTGACAGCTTCAGTATGGCTCTTCTCAGCTGGGAGTAGCTGTCTTGGCATTTGAGAACACACACACAGAGGAAACAATGACCCGTAGGCCTCTCTTTGGAGGAGCACCGCTGCCCTGCGAAAGCCGCCGTGAAGCAGCAAGAGAGGAACCCCTAGGAAGAGCCGCAGTGGAGCTGGAGTTTCTCCCAGGTTTGTCATGCTGCCTGGAGGTTGTCATCCCAAGCCAGTGTATGCCGAGATCAAATCAGAACCGACGGCTGCATTCGCGCTCGTGGCCCTGTGGCTGAAACTTGGTGCAGCAACCCAGAGGGAAGCAAAGGCTGTGTAGACAGACTGACAAATGGTATCAAAAGCTTGCTTCACGTGCCGGGGACGCGAGAAATCCTAGCCAGTCCCTGCACTCTGCCTGCCCATCTTTGGCTTTGAGCTTCCACTCCCCGAACTTTCTCAAGCTTTTCTCCACCACTATTTCATTGTTTAAATTCTTTTTAAATGGTTGTAAGCTGTTCCGAGGGCATCCGCCGGTTTATACATGAAATAGCCAACTTTCAAAGAATATAAGGACTAGGAACTTGTTCTTCTAAAGAATAACAAAAAGAATACCTAGACACTTGCATCTTTAGCCCGTTGCTAAGTGTCACAAACCCTGCTTGTGGTTTTAACAGTACTTTTTATTACTGTGTTTGTTTGTAGATAATTTATAACCGACCTTTCAAAGCCATAATTCCCAAAGCAGGGAACAGCAATTAGAAAGCCTAATGCACAGCCCAGAAACATCAGTAAAGCAAACAAATAAAACAATAGGTAGCAATTTTTTGAGCAGCTAATAAAACTCTCCCGAGAAGGCCCGTTAAAAAATGCTCATGAAAGCAGCAGCCTCTAACTGGCAAGGGGTATTTGTGGACTCGGTGGGCTTTTGGCCTGATCCAGCAGGGCCGCTCTTGTGTTCTTCCTTATTTTGGGAAAAGCATTCTGCTCCATGTCCAGGCCAGGGAATGCCTCTCTCATGATGCAGATGGACATCTGCAGGGTGGGGCTGTGAGTGCGAGATCTGCACCCTCGCTCTATCAGAAGTGCTCTTGAACTGCTTAATATGTCTGGTTAAGCAATTCTGCACACTGATCTGTATATTTTTATTTCTAAGCTGTTCGGTGAGTTTTATCCTAACCTTAAATATAAGGATAAACATTGGGACAAATAAAATAAAATGTCAGTTTGCACACCACCCCTGTAAGGTAGGTCAGTGTTAGGCTAATAGCCATCCTTGGTCAGAGGTTCTGGCTTACCTAAGGGGCAAGAAAGGTGTTCATGACAGTGGGATGTTTTGAACCACAGACTTCCTGATGTTACAGCTCTGTCGCTCGGCTGCTCTGCAAAATTAGCTTGTGGAAAGGGTGCCGTACATTTTAAAACTGCAGAAGGAGCTGGAAATCCTGCTTCCTATTTATCCTGGATATGGGATGTGATGGTTGGTCTGATTTTGAAATCTCAGCCTTAATGTTTGCCCCTGTAGGGTTGGTTCCCCCCCCCCCTTGCTCCTCCTGCACATTATGACCTTTTGATCCCCATACCAAGGCCTGGATATTTAATGTTGGTGCCTTTTAACAGCATCCAGTTCAAATTAATTTCATGCCCCAGTTCATTTTGGCATCTGCGGTTTCAGATGCTTCTCAATCACACCCAGCTCCTCGGGAGACCAAAGTGCAGCACAGTTTAAAGGGCCACAACTGTGTCTTGGATCATCACAAAGCTGCTTCGTGCGACGTCACAACTCCGGGCCAGCCAGTCCAGGTCTGCCTTGTTCTGAGTGGGGAGGTCCTGACCTGTTACCTGCAGTTCCTTAGCCAGACATGCTGGTTGGAACGCAGCTCTGCTGGGTGCAGGCCATGGGCTCCCTGGCAGTCTTGTGCGGCCTCACCTTGGGCTGCCGTTCTAAGTGTTCTTCCCCTAAAAAGACCTGAATGAATTTGCGCTGGCCAGAATGGCACGTCAAAGGAAGGCATTCTATCATTTCCAATTATTAAAGCTTTGCTTTGAGGAGCTCAGTGCGGCTCCACAGCGCTTGCAGAAGTGCAGAGAGTTGCGGGGCAGAGGAGACGGAGGCGCCCTCCCCTCGGACAGCCCGGGCAGGATCGAGCATGGAATTCCGGCTGACTCTTGGAGGGGAGATGGGAAGCTGGAAGGCAGCCGTCTTCCTCGGCTTCACGTCCTCCCGAGGGCTGGGGCTGTAACTCCCAGCATGAGGATGTTCGGTGCTGAAGCCCGAGCCGTTTGGGCAGTGTCAGGTTGGGGAGGGCTGGAGGGGAGTAGCCTGGAAAAGCCAGAACTTGGAGCCAGAACACGGACCGTGGTGTTGCGTGTTGTGTCGGTGTGCGTGGCGATTTGCCCCGCTCACGCCGAATTGCCTGCAGAGGTCTCTTCCCGGAGTCACCTGGCTGAGCGGGCGAAGGCAGGCAGGCCGCTGTTCTTCTCCACCCCTTGGCTCCTGTTTCAGCTCTACCACCTGATCCACCGGCTGCCCTTGGTTCCCTTTTCCTCTTGTGCCTTGCCAAGCGCTCTGTCATTGTTGATCCTGGCATTTGGATTAATCAGAAGGCTTCCTGTGTAATGCAATACCTGTGATAAAGTTTTCGACCACCGAACAGACTCGCTTTTGTCTCTCTTTTGGCTCTGGCTTCTTCTCAGGAAAGCTGGGCCTCTCTTGTATCTCGGCTGCTTTTATCTCTCTCTTCCCTCCGCCCACCACTCCCTTTTGCCTTTTGGTTTTTAATCCACGCAAGGCATACATTTATACAATATACTTCAAGCTGTTAACCCGCTGGAGGCAGGCCAGAGATACTTCGGTGGACGTGGGCCAGAGAATTCAGTTGCCAACTTTTTTTTCTGGCTCCTTCCTCCAGGAACTCCGGAAACATGCCTGGAGAGACTTAAGGAGGAACCATTCGCCTAAGCGGGGGTGCTCAAGTCTCCTTGGAATCTTCCAACACTTCTGAAACGGTCCAGGGTTTGGAGCACGTTTGGGCCCGGCACCCGCAGTGGGCTCCTTCCCTCAGCAAGCCCGTCTTCTTGCCACCCTTGTCCTTCTTGCTACGGCTCCTTGCCCCGCTTCTCTAATTGCTGCCACTTCGTGCTTGTCTCCTGCCGTTGCCTCTTACTGCCACCAGGGTTTGCCCCCCAAGAGCGACTCTAGGGGGCTCTGGCGGGAGGCCCCCTGCTGGCACCCAGACACTTGGCCGGTCGTTCCTGGCCTTGGTGCCTCCCGCTGTCCAGGTCTGGGTTTGCTCAGGCTGTAGCAACCCACCTTAGGCAATGGCAAAGGATAGGTAGAGAGGAGGAGTAAACAGACAGCGCGAATAACTCGGATGTTGTGTGGATCGTCTGCAGTGTGGCTTGGCCCGTTTTGGTTGTGGCGCTGCCGTTGGTGGCCTTCCAGCGGAGCACTTAAAGCCAGCGCCCTCCATGCAGATAACTTCCCACACGGCGAGGCGAGGCGCCTGCATCGTGTGCGTATCCCTGCGGTCCGGTCCATGATTTTGGTTGCATTGCTTTGCTTTTTGAAGAGCTCATTAGGGGCAAAAAACACACCCTCTCCTTGTTTACGAAGGTAAGTCCCTGATTGCTCAACTCTGCTTCCCTCCGAGGCTTCCTGATGCTTCTGCCATCCGTGGCTTTCCCTCCCTTTTAATCGATGCAAACAGTTGGATGTTTGCTGCCAGGGAGGTGAAGGCGTGTTGCGGGTCTGACCTTTCTAAAGTGCTGTTTGCAAGCGCCGTGTGCCTCTCCCGCTGGGGCTTGTGTGTGTGCGAGAGCGTTTCCCACCGTATGCAGGCTCGGCTGTACAATTCTTGCAGCCCTGTTTGCTACTCTGCTATGCTCCCGGGAACACGACATGTGCTTCCTCCGATACGTGGCCCGGCTTTACCTCCCTGCAAATGGTTTCTAAGTAACCGCAGCAGCACGTAGCGAGGACTGGCTGTGAAGCAGGCTGACGCGCCAAGATCACACGGACCGTTCGAAGAGGAGGCGTGTGAGCTCCGCAGGGTTTTGAAGACCAGGCTGGGAGGGTAGGATGCAAGAAATCAGGATGGCACCGGCCGCGGCACCCACACTGCTGGTTTCCAAGCCCTTCGCTCGCTTTCCTGAGGCAAAGAGTCGTCCAGGCATCCCAGCCCTTCCCAGTTAATCTCCTCAAGGCCCAGCAAAAAGCAAAACCTGAGATGTTTATCAGTTTGGCTGCTGTTTTGCATCCTATAGGAGCTGGGAGGCTCGGAGAGCTGGGAGCTTCCATGGCTCATCCGATTTAGGCAGCTTTCCCGAGTCCTTGCGAGTCTGCTCTTGGAAAAGATGGCAATTGATTAGCCCAGCAGAAAGGAGGAGGCAAGTCTCTTGGAAGGTTTCTGTTGTTCCCCTTTCCCCACTTTCAGAGCCACTTCCAAATGGCAGCATGTTTTAACCGCAGGGGCCTGTGCTGTAGGAGGCAGTGCTTCTTGCGCTGTTGTGCTGTTCCCGTGTGTTTTCTTTAGCATTCACGGAAGAGAATTCCCAGATGGTTTGTCCACACTCCCCGGCAATGACAAAATGGAAAAAACTGCTCCTTGCAGCCAGCTGCTCTCTTGCATGGGATGCAGGCACATTCCCTGACTTGATGTCCTCCATAGTTTGGAGTACAACTCCCATCACTGCAGTTTTCACACAGTGGTGGGGATTGTAGTCCAGGACATCTAGAGGGCACAACTTTGTGTTAATGGAAAACATTTTAATCAGTCAAGCAGCCCGGTTCCTATTTGTAGTTCATGGGGATTTGGAAAATCGATGGTGGATGAAGCTATTCTTAGGATTTGCTCCTTGTTTCGGTATCTGTTTATTCCCTCCAGAATCAGAGGTGAGGATCAATTGTAGGAGAAACCTTTGCCCTTAAATCCTGCTTGTGGGTTTCTCATCTGCGTGGAATGCAGTGCTGGATCAGATGGGCTGAAGGCTAGACTTTTCCCCATGCAAAACGGGGGAAATCCCCCAGAGAGGACACCGATTTGCATGGTGCAAATTTACAAGTAATCTCTGTAGTTCAGACAGAAATACAGTAGAAAAGGTAACCATAACGTGCTCACTTGGGTGTTAGCCATGGATGGGCAAGCTCAGGCACTGCCTCCTTTCCCTTCCTATAGTTGACTTTAAACCAGACTTGGGCTGGCTGCCTCTTCAAAAAAGGACGCATCCAAACAGGCTGTGCCATCTAAAGCCAGTCCTCCGCTTGTCTCATGAATCAGTCTGGTATTTGTCGCAGGTACACGGGCAAATGTTATTTTGAGCAGTACTGGAGGATGGTGTGTGGTCTTTGTTTTAACTCTCAAAACGGTCTGGTCTGTTGCGAAGGGTCAGGGTAACCCAGGTCTGCCAATTCAGCACGCGTCTTCTTCACTGATGTTCCGGCTGGGCATAATTGGACTAACCGCGGAGGGCTGTTGCTCTCTTTCTACCTATGGCATGCCTATGCAGTGCGGGCTGGCGCTTCTAATTCATGGGGTTAGCAGCCGATTTCCATTTGAAAGGAAGAGGAGGCTGCTACCAGCCAAGTGCTACCTTGGAAAATGGAGTTCTATTTTTACATCAAAGCCTTTATAGCCAGACTGGAGAAAATTGAGCTCTCTGGAGCTCCGCTTGGTCATTGTTCATGAAATCAGCATTAGCTTGTCACCTCAAGCAGCTAGTTCCCAAAAGGAGGAGAAGATCACTTCCAGGCCTTCACTATTACTTTATACAAGGGTCTAAAATAAAGTGAGGGGTTGCTTCCTTCCCGAGGAAATCCAGCCAGGTCACTTCCTGCAGCGAACTCCATTCAGAGCGTTCTGGAACGTCCCTTTTCTGGTCTGGCCCTGAATCGGCCAGTTGGAGAGGAAGCCTGGAGCAGACGGAGCTTTGAGCTTGTGTAGCAGCTGACGCAGCAGCAGGCACGGAAGCAGACCTGTGGCTCTGCCTTTTCCCACGTGCATGGAAATGTCTACACTGCAAACATGCGTCAACTTTATTTTGGTCTGCTTTGGAATCCTCAGCAAATTTCTGCGAATCATTGTCCCTGAGAAACCCATTGGCAAATCTCAGTTCCACTACCTGCAGAAAAGCTACCTTTGCCAGGATTCCAGGAATGGAGCATAGCTATCTTTCCAAATTCCCTGTTCAAGAAAAATACTTATCTGCCGCTTTCCCCTTTCTTCTGTTGAGGGTGTTGTGGAATATCTTCTTAACAGTCCCAAAGGGCCTGGTTTTTTTCTCCATATGAATATTTATTAATTATGAATAGTCTTTTTTGGGGGGGGGGCGAGGTATTTCTAGAGGATTCTCTTTGTGAATTAGCACCTGTGCGATTGCATGGTGCAGTAGCCAGCTGCAGCTGTCCGAACACTTGGCCTGGGTCCTGACTTGCTGCCACAGTCACGAAAGTGACATTTGGCAGTGCCGGTTTACCCAGTTCCCTTCTTTCCACATTTATTTATTTATTTATTTATTTATTTATTTATTTATTTATTTATTTAAAATGTTGCTATGCCGTCCTAATTTGCAGAAAGCTTCAGGACGGCTTACAACATAAAATAAGATATAACATTAATAAGATCCCCGGCCCACACTGGCTGCAATTAAAAACATAGGGAAAAAACAATATTTGGTTGTGGAAGCTCATGGCACGGAGCGCATTCACGATGAAAAATCGCCTTGTGAGCTGAGGCTCAATGTTAGTGAAGCCCAAGCAGAAAGCGCCCCCAGTGCTCAGAAAGCAGTTCAAGGTCAGCTTTGAAAACTGACATTGAAATGGAGTATAGGTGCCCGTGAAAGAAGGCCGTGTCCAGGTTTCTATAAAACCTCACATCTCCCTCTCTGCTTCCTCCACAGAAATCAGGCGATGCGAAAGAAGCTGATCTTGTATTTCAAGAGGAGAAATCATGCCCGTAAGCAGTGGGTAAGTAGCACTCTTGTTCTCTTCTGTGGGCTTCCCTTTTTAAAGCTTGGGGTGGAGCTCTTGGCTCACTCACCGTGCACACACAGAGACCCAGCGGAGGGATGTGGGCACTTGACTCATTTCAGATCAGGGCCACTGGGCTCAGAGCTGTCTCCTCCAGAGGTGGACATGAAATAGACCTCCAGATGTTTTGCACCTAAACTCCCTGCATTCCTGACCATCGGCCCTGCTGTCAAAGCTTAAACTCTAGAGGATGCTGCTTCAGCACCTCCAGGAATCGATGGGATGATGTGGTGGGTGGGTACAGGGTGCCTAGGAGAGAAATACGTTGGAACTGTAGCACAGCACCGAGCCCCAGGGAGTGGAGAAGAGGAAAGCTGTTGCAAAGACCCGTTCCGAGCTGTAATGAGCATCCCAAAGGAAAGGGCTTGAGAGACGAAGGGGAAATGGGAGGGCAAAGAGGTGAGAGGGGTTTGTGTCTTCAAAATAGCCAGCTTAAAAATAGCTGCAGCCCTGTCATATGAAAAGGTTGTACTGCAGAGTGTTTGTTTGTTAGTAGTGTTTTTAGTCCCTCTTTTCAGCCAAAAGAGGCTGGGAAAAAAGAGTGGCTTTCAGGAATTCATAATAAGACAAGTCCTGCGCTTAAGTTTACAATCCAAAGACAGCACACAAAAGAGAAACGGATTGGAAAAGTGGCGGGTAGAAAGCAAAGCTTGGACACCAATCCTTGGCTTCAGAGTTCTTATAAATTTCCTTTCCAGCATGGAAGGGTAAAATAAGATGCTTTTTTCTGCCCGGTGCCTGAGGCCATTTTGTTCGCCCCTTGTCAAGAAGTGCAGCCTTTGGTGTGGCCAAAGATGGGAGCTCTTGTTGGTCAGGTCCCAGCTCGTTCCACTCCAGGCTTTTTCAGCTTCTGCCTCTTCTGTACCCTCCAGACCTAAATTTGGATGCCATTTGGAGAGGGGCAGAATCACGCTAGTATGTTGAGTGTTTTGTCAGATGGATACCTCACGTCTGGTCTACTCCCTGACACTCCTAAAGCTCCTTGGAAGTGATCCTCATACCACCCCACTAAAGGATGAAAAGTTTAGAGAACAGCTTATTAACAGAGCAGAGAAGATGCTGTTTTGCTGGAACAGTCTTCCTGCCAGATGGAGGTTCCGTGTTCGGAGGTGCTGAGCTAATCAGAATCTAAAGTCACCAAATCCTCAGCCAGATTAATTGGGAGCTCGAACTTCAATCCCCTTTTTGTTTCTTCTCCTGGCTTCGCATCACACGCAGCTGGAGTCGAGCGGCGCTTTGTTCTTGTCTGGGTTTAGATCTCGCCCGGGACGTCTCAGAAGCCACTGGGCGGTAGCTAAAAGGAAAAGGGGCGACTTGTTTTGCACCGTGCGAAAGGATCTGTTCCTTTTCCCAAAACAGAACGATGGCCTGCGTCACTCGTATAACCCAGATGAAGAAATATCACTCTGTAGTGCCGGTTACGTTTTCAGATTGGGCAGGCCTGCCCACATGATTCCAAGCAGAGGGCTCTGTGCTCTGCCATCCTCTGTGCAGCTCTTCCTTCTTTTTCTCCTGTGTGAATTTTCTGTAGTAAAAGGAAGAACAAAAGACGCAGCAGGGAAACACAGGAGGGTTATGAGTGGAGGACAACAACAGCTGGACGCCCTGTAAAATTTAATGAACAATGCAGCTGTGTCAGTGCATACCTGACGTGAGACCCAGGGAGAGTGCGCGCGCTCTCTCTCTCTCTCTCTCAGCCTCTCTCATTGCTGTAGGGCCCACTGGACTCATCCCATGAAGCAGTTTGGTGGGACGTTCGGCTAAAAGGAAGGACGTTTGCACACAGCATATAGTTAAAATATGGAATTCACGTTGACACGAACTAGTCGTGACCACGAGATTGGGCAGTTTTGAAAGGGGATTGCATAAATTCATTGGCGATATGCCTCCAGTGTCAGTGGCCATTGGTCCTGATGGCTACGTGGTACCACTGGTAGCACAGGTAATATGCCTATGCACAGCCAGTTGCTGGGGATCATGGGCGGGAGGGTACTGTTGCACTCATGCCCCGATTGTGGGATCATGTGGGCAGCTGGTCCGCCCCTCGGTGAGCAGAGTGCTCGACCGGATGGGCCCCACTCTGAGCCAGCAGGACTCATGTTAGGTCCCTGCATTTTAGGCGCGCTTGGGGAATCCCATTTTGCATTCTGCCCCATCCTGGGAGCCAGCATGTCGCGTACGGTGGTTGGGATGCCAGGCTGTGTCCCAGGAGATCTGAGCCGTTCTAGTCCTCACACGGCCCCGAAGCTCCCTGGGTAACTTTGGGCTCGTAACTCCCAGCCTGCCTTGTTTCACAGGGTTGTTACTGTGAGGGTAAAACGGAGCTGTGTAAAACCACCCTGGGTTCCTTGGAAGAGGGGAAAAGGCAAAACATACATGCAACGTGATAATAATTTGTCCGTCTTTTAAAAGCTTTTCTACCCCGTCCCCCATTAGCGTCTCAGGACAGCTTACAACAAAACGCGTAGAATCAAACAAAACACCACAGCATCTGACAGTGGAGAGACTAAAACCCCAGTTAAAATCAAGTAAACATTAAAATGATGGGAAAATAAAAATAAGAACGAGCCAGCTCTGTATTCCATAGTCCTTTGCTTATGGAGAACCCCACTGGTCTGCCGTGAGAGGTTGCTTCTTCCCATCTTGCTCTGCCTCCCTCCGTAAGAAAGCCGCCTCTGACCATGACGGAGCTCCGCAGCAGCAGCAGCTCCGGGCAGAGTCTGGGGCCCCGGGGCGCAGCTAAGGAGCAGGCTTAGGAAAGGCCAGCCTGGCTGTGAAGCGGTGCCGCTGGGAACCAGGGTCCGGCTTCCTCTGGAGTCCTGGAGTCACTATGAGGCTGTGCTGGAAGTGAGCCTGCCGGGGGTTTTAAGATCTGCAGGAGAGGCGCTTTGGTCTCTCGCCTCAACATCTGAAGCTCTTTTGACAAGAAGAAAGGGCCTTCTTCGTGGCTGCCCCCAGGCTGTGGGACTTCCTGTCAGGGCAGGCCTGACTGGCACGGACTTTGGAGGCAAAATGACTGGCCTGATTCACACGTTGGAATAAGCCCAAATCTTTTTTAAAGAATCTGGCTTAATGTTGGTGGCCAAACATGTGGGCAGACCTTTTCCTTCTAAACTCCCCTGCAAATATGTTTTAATTAGTTTTCACTGGCTGTGTTTACTGATGGCATTAGTGTCTTCCCTGCCTTATTTTCACATTTTTTCACTTGGCATTTTATTACTGCTGTATTTTATATGCTGTTACATTTGTGTTGTTGACTGCACTGAGCACCATTTGGTGGAAGAAGTGAGGAAAATGTTACAAGCAATAAAGGCATAAATAACCTGCGGAACGTAGTCCCCGAGGAGTTCATTATCTGCAAATGACACCTCATCTGTACAGAAGTAAAGGGGACAATAATCTCTTAGGAACAGAGTTCTCAGACCTTTCCCATAGTAAAGTAACAAAAAAGCGTTACTATGAAAAGCGTCAGGTGAAGAGAGGTCCCTCAGAAATGTCTGCTTCAAGCGATTCAGGGGAGAGGAAAGCATGGCAAAAGAGCAGCTTGACTGGTGTCTAGAAACTTCTGAACAGGCCTTGGGGATTGTCCCAGGCTGCTGATAGCTAATCCTGCAATAGCAGTGCTTTGATACTGCAGAAATAAAGGGGTGAGACGGACCAGGGGTCCGAGCCTGGCAGGAAATGGCGGTGGCCCTTCTCGTTGAAGAATTCTGTGTGCGTTTCTTCAGCGACAAGACTTGGTTCCTCTTTGTGGTACCCAGCGAACCAGAACCGATTCCACAGGACCCAAAGAGGATTACTCTGGGAACTGAACAGCCCCCATGCCTGTTCACCCTTCGGCCTTTCCTCGGGGCGTGGAAGCTTGTCAGCACAGGATGCTGATGCTTTTAATACGTGCCTTCCTCCAGCCCGTGGGCTGGGTCCCCACACAAGCGCGTCTTGCTTCCTGAGTCACACTCCCACAATTCCTCATGTCTGCATGTGGTAAAGCATATCTTCTTTTATGTTACAGCGTTTTTGAGGAAATTAGTCAAGAAATGACAGACTGTGGTCCCCCTTCTGTTTCGTGTGTGCGTGTTTGAACTGCTTTCATGTTTCAGAAGACGTTTTCTGCATTTGTTCTGCTGCTGAAGACATTTTGTGCCTTCACAGAAGCCTTGACATCCCCAGGACCCTTGCCTTCACAGAAGACATCCCCCAGGACCCTTGTCGGCTGTCGAGAGGTCCTGGGGACAGTTTGTGTACACAGGGCTTTAACTGTGTCTGCTAGGCCTTGTACACAGCACATGTGTCCTCGGGGACATGCCTAACATCCTCTTGGAACAAGGGGGGGGCTGAGAAGGCACACGCTTGCATGCGTCTCTTTAAGGCCCCCCCTTGATAACCTTCTGGCTTACCCAGAGCCTGTTTGCACACCTCGGGTCCCTCCTCCTCATCTTCAGCGGTTTGGAAGTATCACTTTGTGGGGGATCAACTGTGCATCCACTGGATTAGTTAATTAAGGTGCAGTTTGATGCACAACAGGAAAAAAATCCTAAAACTTGCAGGGGAATGTAGAGAAGTTGTGGAGGCTTTCTTTCTGCTAAACATGCACAAGATGGCACCCTACATTCCCTTTTCTTGCAGACTCAAAGGAAGTCCTTCAACCAAAGTAAATAAGTTCAGGCATCTATTTTAGATTAGGGTTAGGAGTGGAATCTGGTGCAGAATGCCTCATGCGCAGCTTGTACATGTCTGAGGTGAGAGACATGCCCAGCCCGCCGCTTAGTGCCGAGGGTCTGTTCTTTCCCCGCACGTTTCGTTAGCACCTTGTCCACATGATAAGGCAGCCTTCGTTTCACAGCACGGGCATGTGGCAAGATGGTTGTCCTCTAATTCAGCTCCTGCCCAGCTCTTCTAGACACGTGCTCTTGCAGGCAAGTTTTGGCCGTGTGTATGTGCCCTGAGAATCGTACATTAATCCTCCTCTGAGACCTCGCTGTGGATTTGGCTGTCGAGAAACCCCTTCTTGATCTGTCTCTTTCTCTCTGCTGCTGTTGCTTCCTCCCCCAAACTCCATCCTGCCTCTTCAGGAACAGAAATTCTGTCAGCGCTATGACCAGCTGATGGAAGCCTGGGAGAAGAAAGTGGAGCGCATCGAAAACAACCCCCGACGCCGAGCCAAGGAGAGCAAAGTACGCGAATATTATGAGAAGCAGTTCCCAGAGATCCGGAAACACCGGGAGCTGCAGGAACGCATGCAGAGGTTGGTGGAGGCAGGTTTGGAAGGGGGCGAGCCCGGAGCCTGCTCAGGTGCGGCTGGAGTGGCGCGGAGTGCCAGTCCTCGGGGTGTCCTTTCGCTCCTGCCCCCCGAGTGGAAAGCTCACGCAAGGCCAGGCTCAGCCTTATCTTCCAGAAATGCCCAGCACACGAACACCGTGCTGGGAGGCCGCAGACTCTGGGGTTTTGGAGGCCTGGCTCTCTCTGCCCCATTCTGGCAGATCCTGCATATGGCGGCCTCTACAGATACCTTGACCTATTCGTTTATTTAGTTTTCTATCCCACCTTTCTCCCGTCGCGGAACTCGAGGCGGCTGCATGCCCAGTGGCCTCCCTTTGAGCAGCCTGGATTTTGCCCCATGCTGTGGAATTCCCAAGACCGGTTTCCGCAGAAAACGGATTGACCGGGGGGTGGGGGGGGTGGAGGTCACAGCAAGCCCCCCTCTGCTGTGCATGGGAGCTCTCCGAGCTCTTTGGCAAGAGCCTCGGGAAAGCGCCACCCCCTTAGGGGGCACACGCACGTTCCCCCGCTGCCCGGTGTCGCCCTCGCCTCCCTCTGCGTGGCACTCCGTCGCACGCAAGCGGCCACAGTAATTGTCGGATTGTGCGATGCCAACTGCAAAATGGAGCATAAATTTTTCAGCGCTTTCTCTGCCGTTTCCCAGCAGGGTAGGACAGAGGGGCAGCGGCCTCTCCATGTCTGCGGCACGCAGCGAACACGAGGTATCAGAAATTATTGATGGGCTCTCGGAACAAGAGGTGAGGCTGGGTCACCCTCTCCTCCTCCTTCGCATTCTCTCCTCCTCTTTTCTTCTTCCTCTGGGGAAACCGCCGCCGCCGCGCCACAGACCTTGGCGATGAAACTTGCTGTTGATGCTGCTGCCAAATTGCATTAGCTTCAGCCCTAGCTGTGTTTAGCAAGCACTGCCTTGTGTTAGGGAATGTGATGTGGTGATGGATTTGAGAGGACCCTAAACGGGAACTCGGGAAGGCTCTCCCCTCTCAGCCGTCCTGTCTTCCCGCTTGCCTTCTTGGTCCTGTTAGCAAACACCATTTCGTTGGCTTTTGTGGTGTCTTCCAGGTTCAGCTTTCTACAGCAACCAGTAGGGATCCACAAAATTGTTTAAATATGGGACTTCTGAATAATTCAATAGGGAATTCCTGTTATCCAGAGGGAACAGGACCTCTGAATGTTGACATCCCATATAGCTGTTATCAGCAGACCTGCCCTCCATAAATGTGTCTCAGCCGATACAGTTATTTCAGAATGTTTTGAGAATGTCGATAAACAAGTGGTAGGCATTGTTTACTAGATGTTGTTACAGTTCCTCTCCAAAGACCCCTAAGCAAATTTAACTGCCGCAGAATAAGAAGAGAGCTTCTCTTGTCATCTGGAGCTGGTTAAAGAATATGGAGCAAAGATTAGGAATAAGTGGCAAATAAACCCCAGTATTTCAGGCAGTTTAAACAAAAACGGATTGTGAAGGCTATTATTGGCTAGTTCCAGATGGCTGCAGGCCTGTGTACCCCAGTTGCTGGGGAACATGGGCAAGAGGGTGCCGTTGGATTCATATCCCGTGAAGAGAATCCCGAACTACGTGGTTTTGGCCTTATCCAGCATGGGTGTTCTCATCTCCCTTTTCTCTCCAGTCTGGAAGCATGATTATCATGTGAGCAAGCAGGAAGTGGTGCTCATGGGATACAAAATCCCTCACTCCATCTGTACTCCATGGGATCCCCTTCCTCGTGGAATTTTACAGGAGGGGCTCTGCTTGTAACTCTCCAGTGTTTCCCACTGCTGCTTGCACTGTTTTCGTGTCTGAGAAAATGTATAGATTTTTTCTGTCTGAGAAAAGAGAAGGAGAAGAGACCCAGGACAGTTAAGGGGAGAAACTGATGCTTCCGGCTGAAGCAGTTGTGCTCAATATGGATTGAATGCATTGCCGCTTGAGCATCACCAGAATCTTTCCTTTGAACCACCTATTAGGGGTGAGGGACAGAAGGGAGTTCGGGAGCGATGTGCACTTTTCCAGCCGATTTATTGTAGGTTGTCCAGGATTTCTGACTTCGAATGGTTTGAAAATGGCTGCAGTGAAACTACCCCACCCATTCCCAAAGTCGACTGCTGAAACAGAAGAAAGCTTGGGGAGACTAGGGAGGAATTTTGGTGGGGACGGGCCGTGGGGTTGACTCTGTTCTGTTACAGAGGACAAATGCCCATGCTTGCTTGCTTGCTGCTCATGGACACTATTTTTCACTCCCTGTCTTGTCCATTTGCCTCCAGTCAGTCAATCGGGGAGTTTTAGTAAAGCGCAGGTCTAAAGCCTACATTCTCCTGTTCTAATCGCTCTAATTCTGTGGCGATTCATCTGTTTGGGCCTGAATGAGGACTGCTCTCTTCTGCTTTCCGTGGCAGAATCTAGAAAAACAGATGCGCCAACTCGCTGTCATTCCACCCATGCTCTATGACGCCGAGCAGCAGCGCATCAAGTTCATCAACATGAACGGACTCATGGATGACCCCATGAAAATCTACAAGGACCGACAGGTGATGAACATGTGGAGCGAGCAGGAGAAGGAGGCCTTCCGAGAAAAGTGAGTGAAGCTGAAGGGTTGCTCCCCTCCACGTACTCTGGCTAAGATATGAACATCCACGCCAAGATGAACTGGGGCCTTCAGTGCTGTGTGCCATGGTGGCAGAACCTCAGCCCCGTGGGCCAGATTCGGCCTGCCTGGGTCCTCATGCAGCTTTCTGGGGCTCCCCAGACACCTGTACTCCCAACTCTGGTCCCTCCTGCTTCCTTTTGTTCCACACCTTCTCCTGTCTGCCAGTCAGTTCATAGTTTTCCATCTTTCGTGCGGTTCCCGCACCCACATTTTAAATAGTTGAAATGCCTCTCCTGGGCATGTTCTCAGGCAGGAAAAGCTTTCAGCTAAAATATTCCAGCATTTTCGGTCCCACCTCCATCAGTTCTCCAATCTGGAGGTTTGGAGGTTTACCAGAATGCAGTTTGGCCCTTGCACTGAAAGAGGTTCTACTTCCCTTCGGTACACTAATGAACCGAGTTATTGTGCATTTGGCTAATGCACGTATGCAAAATGATTCCATCTGGGCAAAAAAAACCAACAAGAGGACCAGTGTGTTATTGTAGCGTAATAGTTAAGGATGTAGGACTGGGACCAGGGCGATCGGGGTTCTGATTCTCGTTGCACAGCAAGGTTCACTGGGTGTCTTTGGGCCAGTCACTGACTTTCTGCCTAACTTGGGTTGCTGTGAGGATAAAATCAGGTGATGGGGGGCCAAGTCAGCTACCTTGGATTCCTGGCAGGTGGGAAAAAGGTAGGATATCAATGTAACAAATGAGGGAATGAGAACAAAAGTGCCAAGATAAAAGATACAGTGAGTGATATTGTATTTCATGTATTCACCTTCCCAAGTCAATAGATTATCTATACATTCTCTAAAATAATATAATTTCAGTCCAACTATACTTGACTGCTCCTTTTTCTAATCAGCTATAGAAAGAGTAACTTCCAAGTCACCGAAGCCTTCCGTATTTATCTTTGAAATTCTGTCAAATGTTAGTGAGCCCAGGAAACAGAAACCAGGGCAAATTTAGGCAGGTCAGAGCAGGCTTGGTCTCTCGACATCTGGAGTCACCAAATGTCAAGGCTCAGTAGGGCTCTGCTTCCAGCTGTTGTGTGCCAGGACCAAGGGACCTGGGACAACCGAGGGCAAAGCCGAGTTCCAGGGGAGGAGGCTCGGGATCCAAAGAGGCAGAAGCACTCGCCAGTAAGGAAAAAGGCACATTCCAGTGCAGGGAGCTGTTTGGCCCCTGCACGAAGAGCTCAGCTCCAATGTGGCTTTTCCTATATCCGTGTGGTCCATGGCGAAGGGCTCTGCTTTGAGGATGCAGCTGAGCGAAATGGGAGCAGGAGCTCAGCAAAGCGGCTTGGGCTGTGGAGATCGTGTTCAGGCCCAGGCATTATGGGATGGTGCTGTGTTAGCACCAGCCTGGATTTATTTTTCAGCCCAGGTGGCCTCTTTGAAGCCAAAAGCCAAGGCCACTGGGCAGAATGGGGTACTGGGGATGCCGGATTTCGGGCGCTGTAGGACAGAATGTGTACACATTCCTTACAGTGGTACAAGGTTTAGGAAAAGAATGGCATAAAAATGTAAGGGAAGATAAATACGCACTCAGCTGGGACCGAATAGAGACAGACCAGTGGGGAGACCATTTTCCCCTTTGAACAGGAGCAACTGGGATTGGTAAGCTGAGCATCCTTCATGGTCGCCCCTGGAAGCTCTCCTTCCTGACCTCTGCTTCCATTTTTCAGGTTCATGCAGCATCCCAAAAACTTCGGTCTCATCGCTTCCTTCCTGGAGAGGAAAGTAAGTCTTTGGCATTTGTTAATCCACTGATTACCTGTGCTTCCTCTTAAGCAAAGAAAGGTTTTGCCCTGTCGTCCAAGCTGGATTGTTTCTTGAGCCGGTTTCATGTTCCCCTCATCAGATCCAAAAAAAAAGGCTTTGCTTGGCGTCACAGTTCAGCCATCTAGTAACCTGGCCTGGGTGTGTTCCAAGTCAAGCAGGGAAAGGCAGTGTCCAGCCACATAGGAAAGAGGCAAGAACTGACTTTCGAGCGGGACACAGTGGCTCTGGGTACAAGGTCTCCAGTGTCTGGAGGATTTCCTGCTTCGAGACTTTCCATGTCCAGCAGTTTTAACTACAGCAAAGACCGGGAGCAGACAAGCGGTGTGATATCATGGCGAGAGCACAAAATGCATGCGCAAGATCACGGAGAACATGCCTGACTTGGCCTGGCCAGAAGTCTCTGGTCGATCTGTGTGACCACAACAGTCTACGAAACTTTGCACTCGACCGGCCTGTTATCTGGCCAGATGTGGGAACCTTCTTTGTTCCTCTTCTCTGTCTTCCTAAGCATAATTTGGCAAGGCTTGTAGCAACTTCCTGCTCTCTGCTCATGTGTGTGAGAACTAGAATGTAGCTGACGGCCCCCGAAAGTGGAGAACCCGGTGCATCAGCTTGGATGTGAAGTATGTTCCACCTAGCTAGTTTAATGGGTGGAAATAATATCTCCTGACAGTTGTGTGGCAGGTTATATGTAGCGTTCCACCGCAGCCAAAGGATGATAGACTTCTTTTTCCCAGTGGTGAGGGGGGTTTGTTTTTTCGTTTTTAGCTGCAGTCATCCGGGGTCTTTCTCCCTGCGCACCCTTCCATACTGCTGGAAATAGGTTTTCAGTGTCAGAATCTAGGATGTAATCCACTTAAGGGCATATCTCGGCTCTCTAACACTTCAAATGGAAATTTCTCGGTGCAGAGTCGCTTCCTCCCCTTTAATTGTCAGTCTTCAGCTCCCCTGGAAGCCCCTCCAGGGGTCAAGGGAGGAAGCTTCCCAGTGAAGGAACCCAGCTAATAGTGTCTTTTGGCCTTTGTGCCAGTCAGCAGAGAGACAGGCAGATTTGCACAGAGAGGAAGGTGCCACCCGGGGTGGGATAACTCAGGCCCTGCTTTGGTCGTGATGTTGCAGGTGTCACCGAGACGGCACAGCCGATGGGATGAGATGATCGGAGTATCCACATCACTCAGCTGCCTCACAGGCGATCTAAGGGAACTTTGAGGCAAAAGAGAGCGGTTTTCTAATTCCAACATGCCATAGTTCAGCACTGGCAATTAGAAACAACACCCTTGCCAAAGGAATGGCTGAAGAAGTTTTGGCCCATTGCTGAAATGGGCACATTAACTTTCATAATCAATTCAGGGAATCATGGCTTTTGGGAGGAACTGGCTTGACATTAGCTGTGGAAGGAAGTTGTACTATAATGTCAAATTGATCCCCGGCCGTCCCTCCTCATTAAGGAGATGTTACCTGTCTACAGGTGGAAAGAACAGTAAAGTGTTGTGGGGCAGGCAGATGAAAGCACAGTTAGTTTGTAGGAGTTGGCGCCGCGTGCTGTTAAGAGCGTGCTAGGCGGTCCCAAATTCCCATCTAAGTGATGCTTACGAATGAATGGGATAGCGCCTGGAAAGCTGCTTCTCTCTCTGCTGCACCTTTCCATCAGAGGTTGATATGCCTTCTCTGAGGCATAGTTGCAAGCTTTTAGGCTACAGTGTGCTGCTATTGTCTGTGTGTGTGTGTGTGTGTGTGTGTGTGTTTGACCACATCCCTTTGCCTTTGGATCCACCTCCATTGCCTTCTGTGCGCTGCCCACTCTGGAATAGGGCCGCCAGGCGCTTCTCTGAAATTGGGTTTTGCCCTCAGGCTGAAAGAGGTTCCTCATTTTTGCTGTACAGGATGATTGTAAGCGATTACTGTGATAGTGTATAAATGCTAAGATGGCAATGCTGATAATTCCTACTAAGCTCCAACTTGAGTGATCTCATGAGCATCAGCTAAGAAGTAAAATGGGGTAGTGGTTTTTGCATGTGTTTGGGACTCCCCAGGAATGCAGAAGTATTTTCATTTGCAAAGTAGAACAAACAGTTATTTTTAACCATTCCACAAGTGGCCTAACTAGCGCTCTTCCCAGCATCTCTGAAAAGTGGCGTCGAGAGCCAACGTGATGTAGCCGTTGGAGGTTTCAGTGTCTTGTTTCCTTTCCCACCTTCTGGAAACCCCTCTCTGACCATATGGGAATACAGTACTCAGGTTTGGGGTCAGCAGCCAACCTGAACCTGAGCAGTTTGATGTGATATTGGAGAGTGGTCAGAACTTTAGGAAGATAAGAGAGGAAAGGGGTGCCTTTCTTTGCAGGTGAGTTTCAGGAGGGGGAAAAGGTGAACTCTTGCTGTTCTGAAGTGCCAGCCCCGCCCCTTCAGCCCTGAACAGCAGTACGGCGTTCCGAACGCTTCGGTTCGATCCACAAAGTCCCTCATGGGTCCTTGGTTGTTCTGTTGTTGTCAGTGTGTTTCAGGGCCCCTGCTGTTGTTGTGCATTGTATTGCTCTGTGTCTACTGAATTTGTCTCCCTGTTGCGTAAAACAATGCTAATCTCCATCCCTTCTGGCTTGTTTTAGACGGTGGCAGACTGTGTCCTGTACTATTACTTGACCAAGAAGAATGAGAACTATAAGAATCTGGTGAGAAGGAATTATCGGAGGCGTGGAAAGAACCAGGTAAGAAACACAGGGAGGCCACACCGAGGATATCTCTGCGGCTTTGTCATGTGCTGATTGCGTAGTGCGTGGCTGTAGACGGAAACTGCAGCTGCCAGAGCTGGGTCACGTGTGGTTGGTCTTTGCTTCTTATTAGGGTTGGGGTTGCATATTGCCTATGATTTCTTGTTTTCCTTGTGAAAAAAGTAGCATCGGATAGAAGCTTTAACATCTTCATACCTGCCTTTCTTCTTTTTTCTGCAGTCTGGTGGGTTATACCTAGTAAAATCGTCAGCTCCACAAGCCAAGCGAGATTCCCAATTGTTAGGAAGCAGGAAGGGAAGGACTGGGCCAAATTCCTAGAGAAACCTTTTGCATATGGAAAGTCCTTGGTTCATCCCTACAGTTAAAAGGATCTTGTTTAGCATGGATGGAAAGGCCCTCACTTGAAACTTTGGAAAGTTTTTACCCTTCTGCGTGGGCAATGCCAGGTTTGGGGGAGCAGAGTTGCTCCATGTTGCTCAAAGCACACACTTTGCGTGCCAGTTTCAGTCCCCCCGCAGCTCCACCGAGGAAGACCCTTGCCTAGATGCTAAAGAGCCGTTGCTGCCAGTCAGTGTAGACGCTACTGAGCTCGAACACTGAGCTAAAATGTTTTGGTGTCTTTATTGTTTTTCTCCTGCCCTCTTGCCCCTGGAATGCAGCGCCTCCCCCAAACTTACCCGAAATTGAATTTGGCCATTGGGATGGAAGAGATTCTACATCTCTCTCTCAACTGAGGATGCGAGGGAGCTAACATCTGGCACTTCCCAGATGTTTTGCCCTGACCTGCCTGCCACCTTTCCTGTCAGGGAGTAGCAACTGTTGTTCTTGCTGCAGAACTGGTGTGGCTCATCTCAGTGGGGCCCAGGTAGGAAAATATCCTTGAAGATTCTGCCCCATCTTGGTTGAGCTGTGAGTGTCTGTTTTGATGGGGAGCAGGTGCCACTTGAACGACCTGCCTCAGGTATCGTTCTGGCTTCTGGCTGGCTCTGGGCAAGAGGCATGTTTGCTTGCTTTGGCAAATAGCTGCCTAAAACTGAGCTGGTTGGACTGCAAGACCATGCGAGGAAGTGAAGGGATTTAACTTTCTGTCTCAGAATTAGTGTGGAGAACGTGAAGGGGAAAAGGAGAGATGGACTGGAGAAGGACCACGGAGGTGTTTGCAGAAAGCATGCTATTAAGACGGGGGGGGCGGGGGGGTAGAAAAAAAATCTGTCGTAACATTTCCCTGCCTGGGGAGACTTGAACCCTGGTGAAGCAGTGAGAAAACAGCTTATTCTTGTTTGGAGTTTCTACTTCTATCTGTTAAGGAATGAAAGATATATTTACAGAATCCTTTAGTGCTTCATTTGTGGTTCATTTGTGTATTTGGGCGAGCAGGTGGGCGGTTTGAAAGCAGAGGTGGCTGTTTGGGTGTCTTTCCCTCCCCTGTGTCCCCACTGTGATTTGGTCACCGCCAGTGGGTCCCAAGGTCAACACTGTGGTTTCCTTAATACTGTTGGGCTGGTTTACAAAATAGAAAAGGGTACCTACTGGAACCCTGGGCCAGTCTAATCATCATGGCTATAAATAAGGTGCTTAGGTGGGCCTGTCTGCAGACGGATCTGGAAATGTCATAGTTGAGCCAAGATCCGAACGAACGATCTGCGCAGGGAACGGCCGAGCGACCCTTCCTGTGCCAAAGCAACACGCGGCTTATGGATGGGCTGGACAAGTGTCCATGCCTGGAGCCTGGCAAAGAGAGATCTCTAAAGAACATGTGAATGCTGTAGCATGAAGGACCTGTGCTCTTCTGAGAATGATCCAGATGTACGTATATAACCTCAAGCCAAGGGCCCCTCCGTAGCTGGTCTGGGGTCCCAGTCGAGCCCACCAGAGTTTTGCAGGCCACCATACCCCCTCACCTGGACATTTGGTGGTCTTCTGGCTTGAACGCAGCCTCCTCCCTTCTGGAAGAGTGGCATGCTTGTCATACGTAAGAATTGGGCGGCGTAAAAATGTTTTAAATAAATAAAACAAAAGATGTTCCACACTACCGCAGAAGTTCTCTGCACTGCAGCTAGCTTACGTTCCTGTGAATGCAACCTCCATCTCTAGGCTTCCGTGCCCTTTGTCTCTTCTGTAGCACACTGCTTTTACAATCAAGCCGTCCCTAATTAGGATTAGGCGTATGCAGTGACTGGTGAGGTGTAACAGCTGTGAGATGAGGGCCCTCTGTAAGATATATTTTTCCCGCACAAACTCCATGATTCGGCTGTGGAATCTGCCCCCGCAAGAGCTGATGGTGGCTCCTGGTTTTGGTAACGTTAAAGGGGGCTTACCCATTTTTAGGGGAGCAAAGTCTTTCTTTTCTGGCCCTCCCCAATGTATTGCCCTCCAGATGTTTTGATTTGTGACCACCCATACTTTTTACCCAACATTAGCCATACTTCCTGGGAATTATGGAAGATACAGTTCAACCGACCTGGAGATGCCAGATTGGGCAAGGTTGATCTGCGCTTACTAGCCATGATAACTCAGTGGTCCCTCTGTGTTTGGAGTTGCCTGGGAAAATACGGTGAAAAGGGCTGCTGCTTCCATGATTTGCTTGGGGACTTCGCCAAGGCATCCATAGGAATTAAAATGCGGCCCTAGATGGTCCTGTTCTAGTCGGGCTGCCCTTGGGCATTCTTGCGGATTCGCCCCACAACTGTGGAAAAGTTCTTGTTTCTTGGAGACTCGTTTCTCGGAAGTATTGTGAGATTTCTTTTGTTCGGTGTGACCTTTGGTGACTGGATTTAACCTGAAATGCAAGAGCAGCCTTACAAAGGGGTCCAAGGAAGAGAGTCGCCCCTCTAACTACACTTCATGGCGCGGTTTTTAAAAGCAAATCTTCCTCTTTGCAAACTTTGCTCTGCTTTTGCTTGTCACAAGTAAGCGAACAGTGTGGCTGTTTCTAAGTCTGATAGCGCTCTTAATAGACAACGCAGGCGTTTAGCCACTGAGCCACTGAGGAACAAGATCAAAGTACTGGCACGTCTAGGAGAACTCTGACATTTCAGGAACGAAGGGAAAAAATTAAACACGAACAAGAGACAGAGCACCATTTCTCTCCCCCCGCACCATCTGCCCCCCCCCCCCCCATCCGATGTGCAAACTCAGTGGCCTTCAGTTGCCACAGGATGCTGAGACTTCGCTGAAAAAAATTAAACTGGGGAGGGTGCAAATTGATGCGCTATAGCCATTCTGGAGTAGATTATGTCAAGTTGCAATTCCAGTGAGGAGTCCTCTTGTTGAGAATACACCAGGTTTTTCGTTGGCTGGTTTGTCTGATTTATTTTTATACTGCTCAGCAGCCAAAGTTGTCTGGGTGGTTCACCTGTAAGGTTTGTGGAAGGTGCAGCGTGCATATTTCAGGCGGGTGTGCTGGCGATGATGGCGATGGGCGGTCATCCTGAGTCACCAGCATTGCCATCTTTTCCTGTACTCCTCCAGTCGCCTTGGACTCCTTTTTGGGGCAAGGGGTAGAAAGATGGGGTACCAGTGAATACTCCCAGGCACTTGAAAGTATATTATAAGCTTTCTGCATATCAGTGGATTCTGTATGGATCTGTGCTGCTGTCTTAGGGTTATGTTTTGGTATTTTACTGGAAACTGTTGCGAGCTGTTTTATCTTTTCTGTGGTTTAATGGATTTGGCCTAAGTCATTTGTTCTCCTTTAAGGGCAAGGTAACTAAGAAATAAAATTAATAAATAGGAAGCGGCGTTTGGCCAATCTAACGGAACCCATAAAGTAGAGCTGGCACCTGGGGGTCTCTTGGGTCAAGACCAGCCTTGCCACCAGTCACAGTCCAGAAGCTGGAAATGTGCCATCCCTTGTAAGAGCACAAATGGCGTACAGACTGCTGCAGGGTGATAGGACTTGAAATGCTGTGCGCGTGCACATGTGTGTGTGCACACGTGTGTGCCTGCACGCACGCACACGCAGGAACCCCTCACTCACCAAGGCGCCCTTTCGGAGCATGTACTCGAGAGGCTGGCCAGAGACTTAGCAGACCGGGCAAACAGCCGAGCAGCTGCTTCCTCCAGCAAGAGGCGTATTGGCGGGGTGGGGCAGGGGCGGGGGGAGAGCAACCATCAGGGTTTTGACCTATTTTGTGGCTGGGGGGAATCTGCAGCCTATTTTGACAGGAGGTTATTTTGACCCAGGAACAATGTGTGTTTTCATTTTCATCTTGGCTCCAGAATGAGAGTTCCAGCAGTTTGAAAACACGAAAGAGCCGAATACAGGCGTACATCGGAGTTTCTTCGCTTTTTTTCTTGCTGTGTTGCTGAGCGACTCTCTTGAAAAATTATTGCAGCCGTGTGTGTGGGGGGGGCAATCAGGACGACTTTGTCACCCTCTGAAGGCCTAAAACTTGGGGCTGGGGGAGGGTGGAGAAATCGAAACATGAATAAGCTATAGGGTTAATCCTGGCATCCTCAGAGCTTAATCACACACGGGCTGCAGCCAGCACTGAGAGCTCCCGGTGACTAGGGCTGTGGTTTTATAGCTCATGACTCATCGGCTCGACTGAGAGCGACCGTGTTATTCCAGTAGATTGCAAAATCATAACAGGAATGCCGTGGCTGGTTTACGGCTCAACTATGCAAATCGTCAGGAAGCCATTAGAGCCGGAGAGCGTAAGACACGCCGACCTGGGATGGCAGAGCTGTGAAAAGGCATCCGGAGGAGGTGAAGGGGGCTTTCTGGGAGAGCGGGGATGGGGACCGGGTGCTCTGGGGAGAGGCCGAGCGCCCTCCGAGGGGAAGGCAGGCCTGGCCGGAGTTCTGGACCGATTTGGCTGGGCCTTGCGAGCGAATATTTGGCAGGAAGTATCCACAAGGGCTGAAGAAAGTCTCCTCTCTCCCCCCTCCCAAGCCAAATGGACATGCTTCCCCTCTCCCTCTTTGCTTCGAAGGGTTCGGCTGTCAAAAGGGGGAGCCTTGCTTATTTGGGG